TTGGTCATGTGCAAAGCTTAATGTGTACAAGAAGTTGTCCCGGATTGGTATTCCCATCCCTTCACATTTCATTTTCTATGGTTTTAATATTTGTTCGAGGAATATCTTGAACAGTGTCAAAGATGTAGAGCATCAATGCAATAAGCGTTTTCGAGGTCTTAAATTCGTTGGAGTATTTATTGCCGCTTTTAACTCTTACCATGTTGTGGTTGTAAAGGTTTTTTACGGCTTCTATTAACCTCTTAGTTATTCTGATTTTCTTCATCGTGTTCCATAGTTGTTTTCTGGGAACCGTGTCATATGCCTTTTCTAAATTTATGTGTAAGCCATGTGTACTGGTCTATTTTTTGCCATTTTTTTCAATTAATTGTTGGAGTGTATATATGTGGTCTATGCAAGATCTTCCTGCCGTGAACCCCGCCTGATCTTCTCCGATTTTATTTGAGATAGATTTCACCAGTTTATCCTTCAGTATTTTCCATATAACCTGCCCATACATGCTATCACACTGATGCCCTTGTAATTCCCGCATTTATTCTTATCTCCCTTTTTGTGTATCGAGGTTATTATGCTTTGGGCCATTCATCTGGTATATTGTTCTTTTTAGTCTTTATGGCATTCTTTACTTCGATTAATGTCATCTCAATCTGTTCTTCATTCTGATTTTGTTGTTGTTCATGTTCTGTGTCTGTCTCTATGAAATCTGGGCTGTTTTGTGTGAGTAGTTCTTTATAGTAGTCTTCCCACTCTTTTTCTGATATGTATTGTATTTGGACCTTTTCGTTTGAACTCTTTCCCGCATAATTCCGATTCTTTAAATTTTTGAAATAAAGTATTATAAATTTGTGATATCGGTATTTCAAAAGCTTTTAAATGAGGTGTCACACGATGTATTTTTTCATTTAAAAAAAAGTTATAACTGTCACCTGAAGAGGGATCGCGTAAAGCTCGAAATATTCATCCTATAATATACCACAATTATACACCAGCGTTTCGCTTTCGTGCTAAAAATAAATAGGTTAATAGAGGGTGACACTTATTCCAGCGCATGCTACAATGTTTCAAATTTCAAATTGACACCCCTTAGGAATATTTAGTATTATGCATCACACACACACGTGGTTTTTCAGCAGTAAAATAAGCGTCCAAATTAAATATTACTTTATTTATACCTAAAACACGTATCGTAATATTCGATGTCAATACAAAAATAAACTCTTTTCAATCACAGTATGACAAACTTTTAAGGGTACCATTAATTTGCAACTGATTTTGGGAGTACTGCTGTACTTCATATATGCTGTACAGTAAATGGGACTATTGGCTGTCGCGTGTCTAGCAATAATAAAAAACCGTCTAAAATTCATAAAATATAGTTTGGCTAGTTATACTCGCAATTCGTTACAAATAAATGATGAAGTACTTTATTACTTTAATTAGAATACTCCATAATCTATTTTATTTTGTTTTAAATTATTTTATTTTATTTAAATCGTAACTATTTTGTTTGTATTTCCATGCCACCGGTAAAATAATGTCTAGGCACTATTAAAGTTATGTGCTTTAACGTCAAATTGGACAATTTTAACGTTGAAAAAAACTTGCTGTAACACGTAAAACTCACCAAGCCATACTTTTCACGGTATGTGTTTATAGGAATTGATGAAATCTGTATTCTGTATTCTATTTTTTAGGACTGTGGGTATTTAAAATCAGAAATTATTAGTATTAAAAATGTAGAATGAAAATAAAATTAGTAAAAAACACATAGATCTCAAAAAAGACGAATTTTGTAAATAAGTAGATATAGATATCTTATTTTTTTATTTATTTATGACATAATTAACTTATATTTTATAAAAAAATATACTTTACCTCCTTTAAAAAGTATCCGAACCCGCTCATGCGATAACCGAGGCTGTGAAGACCATTAACTCACATTTTTTTATTGTTGTGGTCCTAACCCTTTAGTTTTAAGAAGGCTTCCAGGTACAGTTGCTTCAAAAGTATCTTACCGTGGATGGTCCATTGATGATGACGCAAAAGTTGAAAACCAGCCGTATTCGAATATTCGACGACTATTTCAGAAAGTCGGTGTGTTTACTTATTGCACACAATGTGGACATGTAATTGAATAATATTGTGCTATAAAACGTTTCAAAATATGGTAAATTCGCATCATCACATCAGAAAAAATTAAAATAATTAACTATTTATAGATATTAGCTTATATATATATATATATATATATATATATATATATATATATATATATATATATATATATATATATATATATATATATATATATAGGGATGAAATAAAAGAAAACTAAAATACTAATCTGCAGCATGTGGAATCTACATATCACTGATTTTAAAACTTAATAATTAATTTTAAGAAATAATAATTTTTAGTTTATAAGATACATCCCTAAGATGAAATATGTAATTTAAGAAAGCTCAAGAAACTTAAAAAAAAAATAGTTGCGTTCAGAAAAATTTTAAAATTTTCAGAGGAACATTTGAAAACGAATACGAAACGGTGTGAAATAGGATTAGGATTCGACAATGGAATGTTAGAGGGACTTTTAAAGCAGAAGTACTACTTAACAGGACCTTGGAAAATTATGAAAAAGATATCTTGTACATGTTTTTTTAGTCGCCTTTGATAGTGTCTGGTCATCACAAATTTGTGATGCAATGTTTAAACGTTTCATCGTTTGCATCTTTGATGGCTGGTATAAGTTGCCTATGTAGTCTATTATGTACATGCTCGTCTATATTATATCTACATTTTTGCCGTGTGTTTCTCAGTTATGAGTTGGTGAATGTGCAGGGGATATTTGTGGTATTTGTCGGTTTGCGTTCAATTTGTGGAGTAGATTGACAGAACACACGAGTGTGGTAAAGTATTGATCTGTTATATCTATGTCCTCTGGAGACTTGTTCCAAAGATTTATATTCGTGTTTAATTCTAGGTAGGATTGAAAATCTGTCAATTTACTATTTTTTGAGGTTAGGCGAAGATGAAGTGGGTTATTTATAACTAAGGTTAATGCTAATGATTACAGGTGTGTGATCGGATGAGAGATCGCAGTTCGATTCTACTAGACTAACTAGACAGTTGTCTATAGTTTTGTTTTAAGATTTTTCTTGTTCTACATTATTATATCAAATACGGTACTCACTCAGTTTGGTTTCGTTTCAAATTAATAACCTAGTACTACAATACATGGATCGTCGAAGTATTTGGTAGAGTCGTTGCTGATCGAACCAATATTGTATATTTAACACGTGATTATTATTAGTCCTGAAGATGTGACAGACACCTAAAACAGGACAATAACACATATCACTGAAGAGAAACACCCAACCCATCGGCTCATGCTACAATCATGTATTCTATATTATTTAATTCGATTAAAATGCAAGTAAGTCTCCACATAAATTCTTGTTTATCTACCTTAATTAATAAAATATAATGAATATTATATATATATATATATATATATATATATATATATATATATGCATCTGCAATAATAAAATACTACCTTTATTTTACCTTTAAAGAGTTCTAAACTTCGGGAATATCATCTCGTGTAATTTACAAAGCAGTATAAGTATATAAAACTTATTTGACTTTTTATACAGCGAATATTTGTGTGACATAAAACAGAGTTATTAATAGATAGTACTTTGAATATTTAAACAGCAGAATGATGCTATTGTTGAAAATATTTTGTTAATAACAGACGCAAATTATTTCTGATGTACACTTCGAATGTTAAAACGAATTTCCTCGTTTTTCTATAATTGGTTAGAGGATACATTCTTTTGATTATATACATAAATATTGGGAAAATTGGCAAAAACATAAATCATATTCATATCATTTGTAATTTAAGACAAAATTTAAAAGCATGCAAGTTTTGGTAAAAAAAGATTTGGTTGTAGAACGCTGTATTTTTTCGCTTCTGCAAACTGCTTTTTCTAGATGTTTTTGCGTTCTCGCTAGTATCACCACATCATCCGCGTACGCTATGCACGATTTGTTTTAATACTAGGTTGAGTAAATTCGTTTAAAATAATAATATTTTTGGCGTGGGATTCATACTGAATAAACGACTAAAATCAGAATTCATAGCTTTCGATCCAATGATATGTAGAATCCGAATTAAAGGCAGGTTCTTTATTTACAGCATTATCAATAGCCATGCCCCCACTGAAGATAAAGAAAAGGATTAGAAGGACATATTTTACGGGAAACTGGAAAGCACTTACAAACAATGTCAAAATAACCACATAAAAATTATTATTGGTGATTTTAACGCTAAAGTCGACCCAGAGAATATTTACCGACCCACGATCGGCGATTCATGCTTTTCGCCGAACTCTTTAAAAATGGTGGTGACACCCTTTTTTAAACACATGCATAAGTTGGTAACCGAAAACTGGCAACGGAAGGTAATGCCGTAGACTAAAAATTAGGTGTAATGCACCCTTTTTACAAATGGAAAATATGATGGTGTGTGATAATTATAGAGGCACCACCCTACTTAACGTGACATATAAAGTATTGTCCAATGTATTGTACAGAACATTGATCCCCTATGCTGAACAAATAGTTAGGAACTACCAGTGCGGTTTCCGATCCAATAAATCAATAACGGATCAAATATTCACAGTCAGGCAGATTCTTGAGAAAACGCTTGAGTTCGGAGTCAACACCCACCACATATTCGTAGATTTCAAAGCCGCATATGACTCAGTCAAGAGACAAAAATCTACAGGCTATGGTGGAATTTCAAATGCCGCTTCATCTTGTTCAACTAACGGAACTTACATTTACAGGTGTAGAGAGGGTAGTCAGAATCCAAAACAACTTTTCAAGACCCTTTCATTGTAAAAATGGACTGAGACAGGGAGATGGACTGTCGTGTCTCTTATTTAACCTTACACTAACAAAAGTAATTCAAGAGTGCCATATTAATACAAATGGCACCATCTTTAATAAATCTGTATAAGTGGTCGGATATGCAGATAACATAGACATTATTGCTAGGTCCACAGAATCTCTGATCGTAGCATTTCGATCATTAAGGGCGTCTCCACTGAGAATGGGATTAAAAATAAACTCACAGAAAACCAAGTATATGTATTGTACTAGATCAGGCAACCAGATACCTAGATTATTAATTGATGATCTGGAACTGGAAAGTGTGGATACCTTCGTCTATCTGGGCTCACTGTTGACCAAAGACAACATTGTCAGCGCAGAAATTAAAAGAAGAATAGTGCTTGCCAATAAGTGCTATTATAGCTTAAGGAAACAAGTGGCCCCAGAACTACCAAAAAAAAATTAAAATTACCATTTACAAAACACTAATAAGGTCAGTGTTAACATACGGGTCAGAAACATGGTCACTTACACAGAACGACAAAGAATTGCTTAATCGTTTCGAGAGAAAAATTATAAGGAAAATATATGGAGTCCAAGAACAGGGTTTGTGACGTAGGCGCTACAACTTTGAGTTATACAGAAGTTTTGGGGAACCTGACATAGTAAAATATATTAAATTAAAACGCCTTCGATGGATAGGACATGTAATTAGGCAAAATGAAAACTTAGGTATTGAGATAACATAGAGGATAATCAAAAATCCATCAAAGTTAAAGCATGGAGAAGAGTTGCCAGAGACAGGGGCGAATGGAAGATTGTTCTGAAGAAGGCTGTGGCTCATAACGAGCTGTAATTTCACGAGTAAATTTGTTGAAAGTGTATTCTCTTATTTTAAACCTCTATTCACTGTGAACTGCCTCGAAAAACTTTCTTTCATTTTTACCTCATTTCTCGTTTTCCTAAGCGTATTTTAGGAGCCTTATAAGCTTTTTTGTATTTCTAATGTTGTCCCTAGCCTCATATAATATTCTTTGGTTGATGGAGTCGTATGCTTGTTTAAAACCGATAAATAACATATGTAATCCCATCTGTATTCTCTCAAGTTTTGTTCGTAGCTGGTATTTTAAATTTATTTTAACATACCTATTTGTTTAGTAATTGTTCTTCCTAAACCCTCCTTGGTATTCTCATTTGGATCACTTTGTTATCATTAATCTTTTTCTAATAATTTTTGTAAGTATTGTTATAATAAATAAAGTTAATAAATTAGACTTATAAATACAGTTCAGTATTTTCATCATCATCACAGTCATTAACATCTTAGTAGATGTGTTGTGGTTCATAATTGGGCTTCAGCAGCTTGGACAGTTTGATTGGTAATATTTCTCCACTGGTCGCGGTCATCAGTTATATGTATTGCCTCAGTATACTGTTTATTGAGAAGCTTTTTAGTAATGTCCGCCCATCGCTGTGGAGATCTTCCGCGTTGGCGTTGAGTCTGAGGCCTTCCTTGGACCACCAACCGCTCCATTTTGTGATCACTTCGATGGATATGGCCAAAGAACTTTAAAATGCTAGAGTAAACGGTACTGGAGAGACGCTGATCCGGTTTAATTTCATCCAGAACCGAGATATTTGTACGGCGAGCCGTCCATGGAATTCGAAGTAGGCGTCTCTATGTCCACATTTCAAAGGCGTCTATACGTCGTCGATCTGATTCTTTGACTGTCCATGTCTCGCATGCATAGTAAAATATGGAAAAGACCAGAGTTGAAACGAGTCTCTTTTTGTTTGTCATAGTAATGTGACGATCACGCCAGACCCCGTTTAGTTCACTCATTGCTGCTCTTGCTAGTTGAATGCGTCTTCTAATTTCGGATTCACAACTGCCTGTGTTGTTAACTAGAGCTCCAAGATATATCATAGATGAGACTACCTCGCATCCCGCAATAGCTTGGGTTTCAGGAAACTGTTGTTGGCGATCAATAACCATGATTTTGGTTTAGTTGTAGTTAACCATGAGTCCAAATTTAGCACTTTCTACCTCGAGTTTTTTTAATAATTTAGTAATTTCTTCTGGAGTAGAGGCTAGAAGTGTAGTGTCGTCTGCGAAACGCAAGTTAGATATCTTAACACCACCTAGGTTTACTCCTCCCTCCCAACCATCCAAAACTCTGCGCATTATGAACTCCGAATAGAGGTTAAATAATAAGGGAGATAAAACGCATCCTTGGCGTACTCCCTTCTCCAAAGTGCATTTGTCAGACAGATATCCATCCATTCGAATATATGCCAGGTTATCTTGATACAGTTTGCTAATAAGGTGAGTCAAGTGTTTGGGTACGCCCATTGTCGTCAATATGTTCCATAGTTTGTCCCATCTAACATTATCAAAGGCCTTTGTATAATCGACGAAACATATAAATATCGGGATCTGGTATTCTCTGGCTTTTTCTATGATGTTTCGTACATTAAGGATTTGTTCTCTAGTACCTCCGCCCTTTACAAATCCAGCCTGCTCAGGTGCTATTTGCCAACTTATGAAATTTTCTAGACGCCGTTGCAGTATGTAGAGGATCACCTTACTGGCGTGTGATATAAGAGCTAATAGCCTGTAGTTGTTATAATTATTTGTTGAACCTTTCTTATGAAGAGGTATGATTATGGTCTTTCTCCAATCCTCAGGCCAGACGCCTGTGTGCCATATTTCATTGCACAATCGATGTAATATTTTCACTCCACATTCCGGAAGATGCTTCAAGACGTCTGCAGTAATGAGATCATATCCTGCTGCTTTGTTTAACTTAAGTCTTTTTAAAGCGAATTCCACCTCGGAAAAAAGTATGTCAGGTTCAGACTCAAAACTAGTGTGGTGTGTCTCTGTTGAAGGAGAATGGAAAGTGGAGGTCTGGCAGTCAGGTACAAACGGGGCGTCCGCTGGCATCTGGTCCGTATTGGCGTATAAAGACTTACAATACGCCCTCCAAACATCAATAACCTTGTCCAAATCCGTCTGTACATTACCTTCATCATCTTTGATAGACCAAGATTTCTGCTTGAATTTACGTGTGAGTTGTCTGACTTTATCAAAGAGTTCTTTGGTGTTATTTGTGTCGGCGTGTAGTTGAATTTGCCTTTGTTGAGCAGCCTGAATAGCTCTAGATAGCTGTCGGTACTGGGAATTCCTGAGAGGGTTCTCGATTCCAGCAATTTTAAGTTTTCTACGTTCTTCAACGAGGTCAAAAGTATCTGCAGACATCCACACTTTTTTTGGCCCGGTTGAGATGGCATTAGACTGTACCTCGCAGTCAGTCAAGGTCTGTATCAAGGTATTTTTAAAAGATAACCAAATCTTTTCGGAATCATGAGTGACGATAATTGGTAAAATATTTTCGAATCTTTCATTACATTGGATTTTAAATTGTTGTGTATCTTTTATTTTTGATATCCTCTTGTTTCGGATCCTAGCACATGCCTTGAATTTTTGCTTTAGCGTTGCAACAAGAAGTTGGTGGTCAGAGCCGCAGTCAGCGCTAGGTCATGTTTTACATTGGCTAATAGATGTTTTCCAGCGATGTTTAATCATTATGTAATCGATCTGATTTCGGTGTCGTCCATTAGGTGAGATCCAAGTGTACAATCTTCTGGGGTGGTGCCTATATATAGAGTTCATTATTCTCAAGTCATTGTCAACGCAGAACTGGATAAGGCGGTCTCCCCTTGAATTACGTTCACCTATTCCATATCTACCCACAATATTTCGTATATGTTCGTCAGCCATAGTAACACGGATTTTTGAGTTTAAATCACCCATGATGATAGCGATTTCTTTATTTGGGATATTTTGCAGATATGATTCCAGCTCGTTGAAAAAAGATTCAGTTGTATCATCATCAGCAGTTGAGGTAGGCGCATAGACCTGGATCAAATGTACAATAGAGGGAGATCCATTTAGTTTTAAGGAAATTATACGATCACTGATAGCTTGATATCCCAGGATATAAGGAGAAAGAGATTTTGAAACCCAGAAGCCAACATCATTGATACTTTTGTTAGTGTTGCCGGAAAAGCACATGAAATGTCCCAAATTAGTCAGTATTTTATATACCTCTATAGTTTTCGCACTTCGTTTTGCCGCCTCTTGTATAAATAAACAAATAACAGCGCAATTCTATTGTTTCGGTATTTCTTCGTTTTGCAAAACTGTCAACGTCAAGTAGATTATTCTTTGTTTCAGTCTTTTGCCGCCTTTCTAAAAAATCTCAGCTGTGATACCACTTTCTCCTGTCTTTTGGTTATTTTTTAGGCCTCTTATTATTTCTTGACTTCATTCAAAGTTTGTTCCCCAATCGTCACTTGTTCATCTTCTGGCCAATTTTCATTTTCCTCTAATTCCTCTTGTTGGTCCATATTTAACAAATCTACGAAATATTCCTCCTATCTGATTAATTTTTCTGTTGTTTCTTCCAGAAGTAAACCTTCTTTGTTTCTTCAATACTTTACGTTATTCTTTTTTGTTTTTTCTAGATGTCTAAATTCTTGGTAGAAATTTTTTACCTCTATGTTTATCTAAGCTTCTATGTTTTTAATTGCTTTTCTGCTTCCTGGAAATTCTTTAAACTTCTCTACTTCTAACCACATAGTTTTCGATCGTATTTGGGTATTTTGTCTGTGTCTTTGTACTTTTGCCCTGTTTATTTTTGTCAAAGGATTCCTACATTCTTCAACCCATCTTGACGGTTCGTTATATTGATATAAAGTTGAATGCTCGAATTAATAAACTTTGGTAAAATCATTAATTATAAAACCATTGATGTGGGTGGTTTATAATCAATGTTAAAATGAAAGGCAGATATCAAGCACAATTTTATTAATCAAATCTTGCCCAAGTACTTTCGCTTTCTAAAGCATCATCAGGGCATCTGAAATAAGCTAGAAACGTTTTTTTAATGAAGAAATTGATTAAATTCGATAAAAAACTCGAAGTTTATAGATGATAAAAGTTTTTTTGTGATTACTTCGTTTTAGACTTACTTCGTCAATTTTGGGCTATCCAAAAAGAGCAGAATGTAATAAACATGAAATTGAACATAAAATTGTACATAACACTACACTAAACAAGGACAAACAGTTTAAAATTATTTAAAATTAGTCGAAGCTAAATTCTTGTCGGCAACAGGAGAGAGAATGGTATTAACGGAAATGTTAAGGTGACATGTGACATATGACAGCTTGAAAGAACAGTCATAATCATGGAAATGTGATCTACACATATTAAAATTATATATTAGTAAGCATTAACCAAAGGTCCAACTGGCACTACTATAGAAAAAATCAGCTGATGAGATATGACATATAGAATATTTTAATTTAACTAGATTGCATAATTCAGATCTCACATTTACATTTGTCTATAATAATAAGGTTTTTAGTTTGACAGCAAATGTAGTGGACATAAAGTGTGAATGCAAGAAATAGACTAAACAACC